TGTCAAGCACTTTTTGGGTCAGATGTCCAGTTTGGGGTCTGTTGGCTGAGACTGAGGCGATATATTGTAGGGCTACTCCTATAGTGGCTGTGAGGCAGGTCTGATAAAAAGTTTCCTATTCGAGGTGGGCTTATCAATATTTAGGACAGAAAACTTTGGTGGGGGGTACAAAGAAAAACTTCTGAAGCAAGTCTAATTTATGAAGAGGTTTTAAGACTTAGTAGGCTCTTGCTTCCATGCAGATTGGTGCAGATGGTCACAACTCAGGAGTACGGCAGGCTGCTGGGATCCAGAATGTTAGCTGGAACTATGACCAGTCAGCTGTTGTGGCTACTCTGTATTTATCAGAGGTAAGGTCCTGAGCTGTCATCTGGTGACTCTACCCAGAAGCACTTTGTACTTCTCATGAAAACTTGTCTTTCTATTGCAGGCCACAGAAAACAATGTAGCTTGGCAGAGATTTCTTCCCTCTGGGCCTATTGCTTTGCTCCCGGTAAGAGGTCCTTCTGGCTAGTCTGCTCCTGAGCACTCAGCCTTCCTCTTTTAGGATTTCACTTTCTCTCAGCCTTTTTCTGGTTTTAAGCCCAGGCTACTTTGTTTCTTCTTCATGTCTTCCTTTTTAAGCTTGAGAACTCCCAAATACCAAAGAGTCTCATCCCTTGGTATCAATGTTCTTTTGACACAGCTCTCAGACACCTTGAGTTCCTTGGTTTGGTCCACATCCCATGAACATGCAGCAGAGCTGGTTAGCATGGATGAGGAAAAATTTGTAGATGCCATTAACTCTGCTTTTGTGAGTATTAATGTATCCAGCTAATGATGTGTTGAGGGGTGAATACAGCAATGTGTTTTTTACTTTTAATTATTTATTTTTTATTATAAAATTTTTAGACAGAGTCTCAAGCTGTTGTCCTGGGTAGAATGCCATAGTGTCATAGCTCACAGCAACCTCCATCTCAGGCTCAAGCGATCTTCTTGCCTCAGTTTTTCTATTTTTAGTAGAGATGGGGTCTTGCTTTTGCTCTGGCTGGTCTTGAACTCATGAGCTCAAGCTATCCATCTCCCTCAGCCTCCCAGAGTGCTAGGATTACCAGTGTGAGCCACAGCACCTGGCAGAAAGGTGGTTTTGAATAAGGAAAAAGGACGAACCAGTCACCTGCCCCTTTGTAGCTTTAATGCTTGATCTGGATTATGTGGGGGAGAGCATCCAGGGAAATGCAAAACAATAGAAATAATGACATGTGCGTGCTCTTGAGCGTTGTGGGCTACTGTTAATGCTGACTGAAACAGCTGCCTAGGTGGTGGTTAGCAATGGCCTTTTTTGAAACTATAATATTTCAATAATTTGGAATAGCTTTACTAGGTCCCAACTACCTGAATCTTTGAGACTTGTTTCATTGGAAGTGTTCCAGGGAGGGACAGAGCACATTTCAGCACAGAGCTTAAGAGTAAGCTTTATAGGCAGACATGGGTTCAGTACTGGTTTTACATGTTAATTTCTAGAAAAATGGAAATAGTACTACTAACTCCTCAGGAATGAATAAATACTAAAAATGAGGCTGAGTGTAGTAGCTCATGCCTATAGTCCTAGCAGTCCGGGAGGCCAGTGCAGGTAGATTGCCTGAGCACAGGAGTTCTAGGCCAGCCTGAGGAAGACTGAGACCCTGTCTCCACTAAAAATAGAAAAACTAGCTGGGGATCATGGTGGGCACCAAGTAGCTAGGGGAGGCTGAGGCAAGAGGATTGCTTGAGCCTAAGAGTTTGAGGTTGCTGTGAGCTATGATGCCATGGCCCTATACCCAGGATGACAGACTGTGTTTCGTATTATCTAGTATATTGTAGTTGCTCAGCAAATGGTAATAAGTATTCAGGAGGAGACACAGGAGGAGATCATATGGGCAGTCTTTTTGGAGCCTAATGCCACATTTATCTAAATTTACTAAATTCATTAATAGTAATAATTGCTAACGTTTATGCTTACTCTGTGCCAGATACAGGTTAGAGTTTTACATGTACTTATTGATTTAATTCACTAAACCTTTGCAATAGATACTATTATTATCCTCATTATAAGACAGAGATGAGGAGCTTGCCTCAAGTCAGAGAGCTAGTGGCAAAGCTCATTTCTGAAATCAAGCTGACCCTTAGAGCCTTAGAACCACTGAACCCTACTTACTCACTAATAACCTCATGCTGAAGATGGAAATTCCATTGTTCTGTAGTAGCAACTAGAAGGAACTGAACATACTGAAGTGCATTCCAAGATAAATGGTGAATGGTACCCTCTGGGTCATTAGTATATATTCCCAGCACAAGTCTAGGACTTTTGTAACATTCATTCAACAACAATTATGAGTGCCTTCTACATAACAGGCTCTAGAGGCACTGAGACAAATGAGACAGTCCCTGCTTCCAGAAGTTCATTGTCAAGTGAGGAAGACAGACATATAAATGACAATTTCAGTACAATGATAGAAGTACACATAGGAGGAAAACACACACTAAGAAGGGTGCAGAGATTACAAAGAGGTGACATCTGCATGCTCTGGAGTTGTTACCCTGATGAAATAGAGTTGGGAGGATGTTCTGAGTACTAGAGGGGAGTCCGAGAGGCAAGAGAGTATTATATGATGAGCCGTGTTGTGGCTGGCACATGGTTACTGAGCACTGGTGCTAATAAAAGCTGAAGCTTGGAGGTAGGCAGGGGCCTGCTTCTGAGTAGTCTAGCTTGATCCTTAAACCTGTGGGGAGGATGGGAGGATGACTTTAGCATTTGTTGGAGGGGCTTGTTACTTATAGTCTTAATCAGTTTAGGCAAATTAGGTAGCATTACCTTTAGCTTTGGTTATAAAAAGGGTTTCCTTGTTGAATATTTAATTCCCTGCTAGTCACTGATCAAATTTCACCTTGTCTTGTGGCTGATCGTGCTCAGTGGAGTGATGCTAATCACACGGACTTCATCAACTCAACTGGTACCGCGTTGCAGTATGCTATTGCCCTTCTGAAGCCCACTAAGGTCTCAGCTCGCCAGCTACCTCCAAGCGTAGCCAGGGTGGATGCCAAAAGCCGAGTACTATTTCCTCTTGGCTTGGGACATGCTGCTGAGTACGTCCGGCCTCGAGTGGCGCTCATTGGGTAAGATGATAGCAGGGCAGGGCTGTTCCCTTCTCACTATGCTGCCAGAAGCCATACCTAAACTCTGCTTTATTCTTAGGGATGCTGCACACAGAGTCCATCCACTCGCAGGACAAGGTGTCAACATGGGCTTTGGGGATATCTCCAGCTTGGTCCATCACCTTAGTACTGCAGCCTTCAATGGGAGAGATTTAGGTAAGGATTCAGGTACCTTAGAGAAGTATCCAGCAATCATGTAGTTGGGGAAAATTAGAGCTCCCAAACAGTCCATAGTAGCAAAATGGGATGGACATAAAATGTACCTGGTTTATTAGGAGAGGAAAACATACTTATTTTGGATTAGGAATTTAACCTTTCCTCTGTTCTCCAGGCTCCATGAGCCACCTTACAGGGTATGAAACAGATAGACAGCGTCACAATACTGCTCTTCTGGCTGCTACAGACCTACTGAAAAGGCTATACTCTACCAGTGCTACTCCACTTGTGCTGCTAAGGACCTGGGGCTTGCAGGCCACAAATGCACTATCTCCACTCAAAGTAAGAGGTCACTTCATGCCTCTCCAAGATTCTTGTTCGTGGAGAAGTGACTTTGTAAACATCTTTTAATTTCTGTGAATTTTTCTTGGCCATAAAATTATCATCACTTTTCCAGTGATCTTGAGCAAAAAGGTACTTGCTAGGCTTGTTGATGTTGAAGTCCACATTTAAGCAGTAACTTTATGTATATGAGAGGGCTTAAAAATGATGAATAGAAACTTGTAAAGATAAGGATGTTTAAACTCCTTTAGCTGGGCCACATGTGATGGCTCATGCCTAGCACTCTGGGAGGGACAAGGTGGATGGATTGCTTCAGCTCAGGAGTTTGAGACCAGTCTGAGCAAGAGCAAGGCCCTGCCTCTACTAAAAATAGAAAAACTAGCCAGGGATCCTGGCAGGCACCTGTGGTCCCAGGTACTCTCTGATCACTCCAGCCTCAGGATGTGAGGTTGCTATGAGTTAGGCTGCCATAGCACTCTACCCAGGGTGAAAGAGTGAGATTCTGTCTCAAACAACAACAACTACAAAAAAACCCAAAACCAGCTCGGCACCTGTGGCTCAAGTGGCTAAGGCGCCAGCCGCATACACCTAAGGTGGCTGGCACCTGTGGTCCCAGCTGCTTGAGAGGCTGAGGTAGGAGACTCGCTTGAGCCCAAGAGTTGAAGGTTGCTGTGAGCTGTGATGCCATTGCACTCTACCCAGGGGGATAGCTTGAGGCTCTGTCTCAAAAAAAAAAAAAAAAAAAAAAAACCACCCCAAACCAGATCAACTCCTTTTGTTGTTTCCTGGAGAAACTTCCAGTTAAAGATACTTTTTCTTATTTTTAGCTGAAATAAAATAGGGACTCTTGGGAGGGAACTATATGGGACTTTGGCTAAATTTTTACTTTTATCACTTTGGATATTTTATTTTCTTCACCTGTCCTCACGCCCTGCAGTGTTAAAAGTGTCACTCACCTTGTTTTATTTTTTCCAGGAACAGATTATGGCCTTTGCAAGCAAATGAGTGCTCCTCTTGTAGAGATTATGTTGATGAACAAAAGGATATCCTGCCCAAGACTGTGTCACACAGTTTCAAGATTTAATTTAATACATTTATTTTGCATTAGAATTCTCATCTCTTCGGATTGTGTGTGAAAACCCCACACTGTACCCCAGAAGTGCATTAATGTACATAGTTACCATTCAAAAAAAAAAAAAAAAAAAGAATTCTCATCTCTTTTTCTTTGCTAATGGGCCCATGGAGCCCAAATAATGAGCAGTCATTTGCTGTGAGAACGATGTATTAGCCAAACCAAGGGAAGAAACCTTAATGGAAGACTATTACAATTTGGTTGAAAAGAACATTTTATTATTAAAACAAAAATCACTGAGGTGCTGTCTCATTCATTTTCACTTGGTTAACAATTCTTTCAAAGCGAAGATTCATACAGTTGGGTTCCTCCTGCCCCATACACACTGGTCATAAATTTATACAATTGTTTTTTGATGGCAGAATTAGAAATACTCAATTGATGCATTTTTGTTAGAATTGCTGTTTTTAAATTAACATCAGAATGCAAATTAAATATGAATTGCTTTAGCCTTTGTTATAGATGCATTAGACTTTCTGAAAAGAAAACCAGATTTAATGCTAGTTATTACTTCATCACAGCACCAGATTTCGACTTTATTTATGATTCCTCTCTGGGACCACTGTTTAATAAAATAATAAATAATTTCATTACACAGGTTTGAAGACCTCAGGAACCAGTTCAAAAGAGAAACTGATTAGCAGCAGAAATTTATGTTTAGTGCAGACTGGTAGCCACCTGGAGGGAATGGTGTTTTCATAGTACCAGAGATGCCTTTTGAAGAAATGTTTCAGGTCTGTTAAATCTGCTCACTGTAAAGAACATCTTGCCCAAAAGTCTGACTTGAAGATGAAATGAGAAGAAACAGTCTGCTTTTGAACTAAGTAAGCAATTCTTGGGAATAATTTTTAAAGGCATGAGAAGCCCATTACCATAGGGGAGCTTTTCAGGCAAATGTAGAAAATGTGTGAGATACTAGAGTAAAAAAATAACAATGTCACAACCCATCCTGGAATCTTAGGAAAAATGTGCCCAAAATAAAAGATGGCAGCTGCTGTGAAAAGCTCTGTGACTATTAGCAGAGACTGTAGGGACAAGGTCATTTTTCATAAAAAAAGAGAAAAGTGGCTTAGGTGTGGAGAACACAGATTCTGCAAAAGTATGCAAACAGCATCAGGCAAGATGAAGAATTTTAAGGCACACCTTGCAAGGACCTCCATGACCCATAGAGGATGTTTTTCATATGACAGTGATGATAACAAACACAACATCTACCACGTGCCAGGCCATGTCCTAGTATTTTAAATACATTAACACATTTACAGAGCAGAAACTAACCAGCAGTATTAGAATCTATAGGACCCCTTAAAGAAAGGCCCAAAGAGTACACTGGGGTCAAAATGGACACTGTACACAAATTGCTTTTTTCTTTTAAGAAACAAAAATTTTCACTCTAAATTGCTCGTAAAATGGACAAATTGGTTCATTCTCCAGATGTTCTAATCAAGATTAATAAAATATATTTAGATAAATTTCTGGAGATAGAATACCTCTATTCATGAGTTCTGAAGGTATCTGGGATGGCCAAAGGAGCCTTCTGAACAATGTTTGCTTCTCTACAAAATGGATCCTGTTCATAAGAAGTCTCAGAGACAGTCTGTAGTGGTAAAGGCCAGGGAATCTTATGTCTCTGAACCTGTCAAGCAGGGGGAGTCTAGTGAACATACCTTACCTCCTGGGGTAACAACTTGGTTTCTACTGGAGGACATAGTCTCCCTAATACCTGGGACATTTAATGTACTATGACTGGTCTAGCCCCTTACTTTTTTGACAAAGATGGTGAGGGATCTAGAAATCTGTCACATGTTAAAGAAGAGACCATAAAGAACTTAGGAGGGTCTTTCTTAAAAATATTGAAAGGCTTTGGAAGGAACAGAGCAGAACTAAGAACACTGAGAAGGTAGGCAGATTTTATTTTAGCTCAATATAAGGAAGGATTTTTTTTAACATGAGCACAGTCCCACATGGAATGGGCTGTCTGAAAACATGCCTAGACAGAAGCTGAACAGTAACCTGTTGTGAAAGGTGAAGGAATAGTGCACTGGGTAGATTAGATTGTATTTTGTGCTATTTTTAACTCAAGATTCTAACTCTAGATTAGCATTTATTGAAGAAGGCAATAAGTACTAAGCTGAGCTTAGTAAGTGTGAAAAGTCTGAAGAAATTCCACTTTGAACTGAAAAAATCTGGGGATAAGGATATTGAAATTTGCTTAGTTCCTTGCACAGCACAGATGTTAAATATTTATGGACACAAGGGAAGTTCCCTAGGAACTGGTGTGAGGGTCAGTAACATTCTTTGTGAGAGAGAGGAATGAAAGGAGTCTACTCTTTGGGGAGATACAAACAAGGAAGGTGGAAGTAAAGCCAGACCACAGGAAGATCTTAGAACACTAAAGGTGTTCTTATTCACTGAGGTGGATAAGAAGCAGATGACTGCCACATGGAGAAGTATAAGATCATGGCTTCTGGGGAAAACAATTCACAAAATTAAGAGCTTTGAGCCTTCAGGCTCAGAACTTAAAAGTCATTAAATATGGTTCTCTCTGGAGATGCTGGTCCACTGTACTGATGTGCATCAAAAGAGCCAACCAAATCAAACGTGGGGTATTGGGAAGGGAATTGGACACCCCGGCACTAGATAAATAACTCAGGATATTAGTTAAACTGCTCCCTAGCTAGGGCAGAAGGTATCGCTATAAATGGAGAACATAAAAGGGAAATCTGAAAGAGAGGGTATGCCCAAATTTTATAAATAGCACAGATTAACAGCTGGTCTAGTCCCTTACTTCTAGAATAGCACAGATTAACAGCTCTCACCACAGACCCAAAACTAGTGTATAATTCTGTTTCTTAGAAATACAAAGAAAATAAGTTTAGGACCACAGAAAATACTATGAACACGTTAGCGTAGGAGTGGTACTAGCACTGAATACACACATAAAGTAGGACATGCTCATTAATCCCAGAGTTGAGTTTTAAAACTTGATTAAATCAAGAAGGTGAGCTACATGAGGCAGCCACACACCCTCTGGATGGCCGCCTGTCTTAAGGCTGCACAGTTATGAGTTACTCTCCATTCTCTTACCGTTTAGCATGGCTCTCTGTTGGCTGATTGGAACTAGCATAGAACAGGATCAAATTCTGATATAGTACCTTTTTGTAAAAATGGAAAGCAAAACCATTTTTTTTTCCTCTTTGGGAGAGGTGGGTGCAAATATAGGTAGGGCAGGGCAGTATATAGGGAAGAAAACAAGATGGTATTGATAGGTCATGGGATTATAATAAATCAGCTTAATTTAGCATGTAAGAAGAAAAGGAAAATGTTTAAAGGAATGAGGCACTCAAAGGGTTGAAATGAGATTTTTCTTTGGTTCCCAAGGACCTGTCCCTGGGCTCTCCAAGGTTGAATTCCAAAGCTACACTTTTTGGCTCACAGGCTCTCTGTCAACACACAAAGAATCCCAAAGATTTAGACTCTGGCGTGAGCAGTACACACTAAGTGATTAGGTAGTTTACATTAGATGTGTAAAATTAAACTCAAATTTCTAGGCTCAAGGGTAAGACCCATCTGTAAAAGCCCCCTTTCTCCTAAATAAAGCTGGCCTTCAGTCTAGGTTGTCCCCAGACTCGCTCAGAAAATAACGAAGTCCTTTCTCATCCTCCCTTTAAAAAGGTTGTTGGCAAATGCAGGCCTCAGAGGAAGTGTGTGTCCTCAGTGGGAGATGCCCAGAGACTGCAACAGGTGAAAGGTGGCCCCCAAGGCCCAGCCTGTTTCTATGTTGTTCACTTTCTTTGTGAGCTGTTGAGGAGGAAAAAAGCAAGTCTTCACATTTTCATCTAATTTTCAACTCCAGCAAGCATGGCACTTGGTCACACCATGTTGGCAAGGAGGATCCACATGGTCACACCAAGGCAAAAACTGGGAATAGCTAGTCTTGGAAGGCTTCCCACTACCCTCTGTAATAATTTCCCTTCAGCCATGTAATGGCCTACTGCCCTACACCTACCATTCTGACTCCTGGGTGCTTCTGACCGACCCAGGAAATGGCCCACCAGGCCTTTGGGAGATTATTTCTAGACATACGGGGTTCTGAACTCTCCCTAATCTTAAAACTAAACAGCATCCCCTGCTTTATGTTCTGAATCACCAATTCATGATAAGAGAGCTTACAATGTCCTGGTAATAGATGTGGTAGACAGCGCATGATTAGGCCTTAGGAATAAATTTAGGGGTGAGAAAGAACAAACCAAGCTTTTCAATTCATACTGTGTAAGCAACTGCCTCTTCTTAAGCACAAATAATAACCAACCAGGGCATTTAAGATACTCTGGGCCACGTTGTGCCTCAACCAGCTCAGTCACCTTTGGCAAAGCTTTACATCCAATTTCCTTAACTATATAACAAAAAGGATTAGTGTTTATCAAATTATTTTTTTCAGGATCCTACAGTTTTTTAGAAATGCTTCAAAGGAATAAAGGAGGCCAAATGGTAGAGGAGCCCTCCACCAGCACAGTTCCATCTGACATTCTGCATAAGATTCTGTTGAATAAAAATGCCACCACCACCACCAAAAAGAAAAACTTTGCAAGCCAGTGAATTGTTCTGTGTTGAGCTGATGAAACTGAGTCTAATCACTGTGTCTCCAAATGGGGAGAAATGGCATTTAATTCATTATCTTAAGAAAAAAAAAATATTATTTTTTTAGAGATGGAGTCTCTTTGTTGCCCTCAGTAGAGTGCTGTGGCGTCACAACTCACAGCAACCTCCAGCTCTTGAACTTAGGCAATTCTCATGCCTCAGCCTCCTTAGGAGCTGGGACTATAGGCACCTGCCAGAATGCCTGGCTATTTTTTTGTTGCAGTTTGGCCGGGGCAGGTTCAAACTCACCACCCTTGGTATATGGGGCAGGCACCCTACTCACTGAGGCACAGGCACTGCCCCCACCAAAAAAAATTATCTTGAGGTTCAAGTCTGGGACACCTGAGTCAAACTGGGAGTGCCCATACCAAAATGTTCTTCTGTGTCCTCAGGACTGGGATACAGATGCCCAAATGAAGTAATCTCTGGACCAGGGGGCTGTCCATGCCTGATTTATTTTCTGCCCCCACTGAAATCATACAGATTAAAAGGATGTCAGCACTGAAAAACTATCCTTCAATGATCTGATTATTGTTGATGCTCAAGTAGAAGCAGCTGTTAACTTAGCATGTACTGAGAGGCTAAGGATGAATTGCCTTATCTACAAATCTGTCCCTAACTGGTGTGAAATGCCTCCATTAATAGTAATATAAATATTAATAACTTACTATGTGCCAGGCATTGTGATTTCTATATATAACCTCGACTTTCATAACAGCCCTATGAAATAGGTACTATAAGAATCCTTGTGTTTTGAACAAGGAACCTAAAAGTTAGGGGAAGTAAATATCCATTTAAGGCCACAGCACTAGAAAGCTTGCAGAATCACAATGTGAACATAGATCTGACGGACTACAGAGCCCAGCTTTTTTTTCTTTTGAGACAGAGTCTCACTTTGTCACCCTCGGTAGAGTGCTATGGCATTATAGCTCACAGCAACCTCAAACTGTTGGGTTCAAGCGATTCTCTTGCCTCAGCCTCTCAAGTAGCTGGGACTACAGGCGCCCACCACAACGTCTGGCTATTTTTGGAGGCAGGGTTTCACTCTGGCTCAGGCTGGTCTCAAACCTGTGAGCAATCCACATGCCCCGGCCTCCTAAGTGCTAGGATTACAAGCGTGAGCCACCACGCCCAGCTCTCAGACCCCAGTTTTGTTTTTTTTT